AAAAAAAAACAATGTATCGTTGACAGCTGTCAATGTTCAATTTAAACGCATAGTTTCTATATAGAATAGAAGTATATAGTAGAAATATTTCATAGTTCCTATATGGATGTTATCTTCTTTAAACGCATATTTTTTAAAAATTTCCTTCATATCGGCTTTTATAAGAATTTATTCTTTATAGCAGCTTTTATAGAAAATTGTTAATTCCGCCATATTTTCTTCAGAATTTATTTGCATTTTTTGTTCATTTTAAATTATTTTTTCGTTAAATTTCTCAAATATTATACTTGATAGTTTTTTTTTTAAATTGTAACTATTTTGGAAAGTATAATAAAACATTAAATGTACATATACAAGAAACATTTTTTTAAGATTTTATGGCTAACGTTTGAAATATTATATTTTTTTTCAAGTTTTTTTTATTTACGTATTTTTTTGAAGGCGCGTGAAAAATTAATGGGGTAGAACTACAGTTGGGACTAATAACATCAGACTAGTAAGATAGTTATTACTTATTACTAATAATTTCTAATAACTGGTAATAAGATGTCATCTGATTAGTGTAATAAGTATAGTTATTAGAATGTTACTAGTCAGAAGACTAATAAGATGCATGTATCTTATTATCATAGTTATTAGTATAGTTTCTCATCAGTATATTTCGATTGGTGTTACTAGAAGCAAATACTACTGAAACACGAAAAACAGCAGTAAGGCAGTCAAAATCACAAAAAAAGTTCCGGTCAATTTTTCTCGCATTTCCAATGGGTTTTATGGTTTCTAGAACTTCCAAAATGTAATTCCATATACATATATTATTCGAGTAATTTTATACAGGAATTACATTTGGAAGTTCTGGAAACCAGGCCAAATCCTGAAAGTCCACCAATCAGCCAAATTCCACTGGATTTTGATTTTAGGCCAAAAAGTAGTTGGCTGTATGGTGTTCACTTTGTGAACACAAATTTGCTTATTTTTGCCGATTTCCCATCGGAAATGCGAGAAAAATCGACCGGGAGTTTTTTTGTGATTTTGACTGCCTTTCTGCTGTTTTTCGTGTTTCAGTACTATTTGCTTCTAGTAACACCAATCGAAAGATGGTGAGAAACTATACTAATAAGATACATGCATCTTATTAGTCTTCTGACTAGTAATATTCTAATAACTATACTTATTACTATACTTATTAGTGCAAAAAAGTAATAAGTAATAATATATTGTAGTTTGATCTTATTAGAATGATAAGATGAATAATAAGATACCGAAAATGCCCAACTGTAGGTAGAACATATATTTTCATCATAAAACTGACATTGCATGTAAAATTTGATTTGAGAAAATGCGATAATTTCACTTTTTGTCACGCATATTTTAAGTCTGACATTTCAAAAAATCATGCTCAACAAACATGCGTGTGAAATAAACTCTTTGTATTCGTTCAATTAAATAGAAATTTTATAGGCATTACGAATATCCACATAATTTTAAAAAGAAGTTTTAAAGATTTTTCATATAGTTTCTTTATAACACGTTATTCAGAGTTTATAAAGAAATTATAAAGAATCTTTAATACTTCTATGTAACCTACATATTTTCTTTTTAGTTGCTTATATATAATCTATATAACGTCTATATAAGCCAAATTTTGTATGAAAATTGACTCCGCCTAGTCGCCCCCCTTGTGGGTTATAGGTATACGTATATAGGAAATTGGGGGATTATATAGGACTTATATAACTTCTATAACATATGTCCATAAAGTCTTGACAGTAAATTCGGGCATTTATTGCGCCACATAAACAAAATCAAAAATATCAACCAATGCACACGGCACGTTTATCAGTACCTCGGGACTACTATCAAACTCAATTCGATGAAATACATCCATTCGCGGAGACGTACAAATTGGATTTACGAAAAAGTGTCTCAAATGGTTATGGCGGCTAAGTTCAAAACAAATTTCGCATGTGTCTAAAGATGAACCCATCTGCCTACGAACCATATATTGTGTTTCATGGACTTAGTATGAAGACAAAGATTCTAGAGAAAGCAAAAAGTACGGTCGTGTTCCCTATTTAAATGCTCCAACCCTCCAAAATTGTCATCAAGTACCGAAAACCGGGTTGGTCAAGCAAAAATTCGTTTTTGGTGATTTTTATGGTTACAGCACATCAAAATTTGAACCAAAACAATATATTTAGACCCGGTCATTAGGAATCAGCAAAATAAGTAATGAAAAAATTCAATAGGGTGTCAAAAATTGGGTATTTACTTCACCTCATAGCATTTTGCACTGAAAAATTCATCATTTTGGACAGTGAAACATTCATCGCTATGTCGAACCACGAATCAAGTGCAAGTGGTTTCTTTTGCATTGATTATGTTAGGGCACTACTATATAAGGCTAGAGACGTCGACAAACCGAACTTTGATAAAGGCGTGTTTGTATGGTAGGATCTTCTTTGGAAGGTGTTTTAGAGCCAATATTCGAGAATTTGGTGCTGAAACGTAAGGTAAAACCTCCATTACATGCTCCATTATCAACCAATTGTTATTGGAATCGATAGAATTCATTGAGAACTATCTGATTTAACACAAAATTTTGGTTTGCAAGCAGAAAAAACCACAATAATGGCTCACTTCTTAAAATATGACATTTCCGTGAAAAAAGGACCATCTGTTTAACTTCACAAAAAGACACCAAATTAATTATTTCTCGTCTGTTTTTGGATGTAAGTTATAGGCGAAGGTCCAAAATATTTGAAACAAGCAACAATTAGCGGGAAGCTTCGAGAGAAAGTTGAAAGAAATCGACATATTGGTCCGCCAAAGCATGATTTTGAAGGTTCGACGCATACTGAGACAAATCGAAGACAATGGCCCGTTCAGTGTAAGGTGAATGTGCTATTCGTAGCCCATTAATGAAGGCTTATACCAATAAAAAAGAATTTAATATTGTATGTTTGTTGTTCAAATGGCGAACATCTGAATTTACTGTCAAGACTTTATGGACATATGTTATAAAAATGTTTGTCGGGTTTGTTCGGGAGGTACCCCTATTATGCATTGAAATCTCTTCAAACCTCGGAATGTTATTTTTGTGTGAAAAAAATAACCTGTGCAAAGTTTCAGCTCATTACGATACCATTCAGGCATGGCTTTCATACAAAAATCCAAATTTTTTGTATGAAAAGTGTGTCGAAATATATTTGTATCGCAAAACTAACGTCATATTCGGTTTTCTTTTGAGTGTTTAAGAACACATTAATTTTAGGGTTTTGAACATTTTTTGCGGCAAATCGAAAAAAAAACAGTAAAAATAAAAATATTTTCATTTTTTTTCATTTTTAAAAATAAAAATTGTTTGTTTTGTTTTGTAGTTTCCGGTAGTTTCGTGAGATTTACTGCACAATATTCAAAAATATTAAATTAATAAAAAATGAAGTGGTTGACATAACCTCACTTTCGTTTTAATAATTATTTGATCGGTTTATCACGATTGTGACACAAAAGTAAGGTTATGTCAACCAATTCATTTTTATTGATTTAATATTTTTGAACATTGTGGACAGAAAATCTCACAAAATTAAAAAAACAAAAGATTTATTATTTTCAAAAATGTAAAAAATTAGAATCTTTTATTTTAACAGTTTAACGCAGTTTAATCGATTCATTATGATTTTGCCAAACCGTGACGGCCATATTGTCACAAACGTCAATTAGTACTCGGAATACGCATTAGAGGTGTTGTTAGCTACGGGCATGATCAGGCTTCGATTTCCATTTAGTTAAAGCTACGAAACAAATTACCAACTATTTTCAATGAAACTCGCAACTAGTCACTGGCTTTTTGAAGCAATTATTTCATAAAATGTGATTGTTATAAGTTTTGTTGTGACCTGAATACCTTACTGATGTTCATCGCCCGATTTTTCATCTGAATCGGTCAAAATTTTACAAAAGTGGATTTTTTTATACGAAAATTATAACTTCAAATAATTTTCATTATTATGATTCAAAAAATATTCTTTCTATAAGAAAGATATCTTCATGCCATTTGAATAAACAAATTGCAATTCCAAGTAAACCCAAGTCATAAACACCGATAGCAAAAAAAGAGATGACAAATTGTTGAGACAACTCTATTCACTTACTATGGACTCCCCCTACTCCGGAAGGCTGCGTAGTAACAGGTTGATAGCCTTGCAATTGCGTTTGTGGCATTGAATATGACTGAAACCCATTAAATAATGATGAATACATAATATTTATTGTCTGTTATATCAAAAATACTTACAGTGTTGTGATTAAAAGCCATTTATACAATGTGTTGATCTGAAAACTGAATGTATCTTTTTTTTATAAATACAGTGTCTAATTTTCGAATAGAAAGTCATTTTTTAAAGTTGTAAATAAAAGATAAATACATCCTGATAAATTTTGATGTTGTCACTTGCCCATAATGTTAATTACTAACACATTTTTGATAATTTTCGTTATAAATTTAATTATACCTACCAAACTCTACTATCCATATGCTTGACAGAAGCTGTTGAAGCGATTAAAAACATTTTGACAGCTGTCATGATGTCAAAATATTTATAAAAAGAAAACAAAGTTTATTCATTTGAATCAATTATTTCCAATTTAATAATATCGTGAAAAAGCGAATTAAATATTCATTTATTCTTCTCTTCTTGTATTATGGGCCAATGATTATTTTAAAAAAACATTTGAATGAAGTAATTACGGTTGATGATCAACTTCTTCATCACGCAAGGCTATCGATAACTTGTCAAAACTGATTTGATACGTTCATAAGAAGATAGATAGAGCGAGTTGAGCACGTAAAAATAGCTAACGTTATTGAACCTTTATTTTCACTACAATAAAAAAAATCTACCACATCTTTATGCACAACTCAATCTCTGATGAAGATACAAATAATTTTTGAATAGAGTTTATTTAATTTCCTCTATTATTATATATTGAAATTTTAATTATTTTCAATTTGAAGTGTCATTTATAATTTTTGTTAAAACATATTTGAGTCTGTTTTGGTTTAATTTGGGTGTGCACTGAATAGTTTTTGCCTAATACATAAATGTAAATTAAAATTATACTTTAAAAATAGAATAATTTATATTATTTTCGAATAGAACTACTTGAGAACAGCTTGTTCTTGAAAATTATAACTTAGCGGCACTCAAAAACCTTTACAGTCTGGTCGACACTGCCTGAGATCACATAAGGAAGATTTTGGTGAAAATCTAAATACATAAAAATGATATGATGTTACGGATGTTTTTAAATAGTACAAAAAAACAACAACATACCAACAGATGTGCAAAAGTGCTGATGCGCGTTAATAGTTTTGAGACATCTCTTATTACGTATATCCCAGCAGCGTATGGTTCGGTCATCGCTAGCTGATATTATAAATTTACCACCCGGGTGAAAAACAATTCCTCTTACCTGCGCGAAGAAAATGAAATTGAGAAAAATAAAAATGAGTGGATAATAATTTTAAAAAGAAGAGATAATGCTAGTAGTATCTATATATACTACTAAAAGAATTATATAATCCTTAACCATACACATAACTATCCAAGCTAATGAAACAAGTTGAAAAATGACGCAAACTTACCCAATTGTCATGGCCATTCAAAACGAAAAGACATACACCAATGCTAATGTCCCAAACCTGGAATATAATTGTAATATAATAACATTATTAATTTAAATGACAGATTTATATTGTACCCGTATGCTTTTGTCACGGGATCCAGAAGCCAAAAACGGTCCATGGTGCGAGCCTGTCTTGTTATCAGTGCCGGCTGCTTCATTTATAGTCTGCGATGCATTTTCGCCAGCCCATGCGATGCATTCAACAGTATGGTCATGGTCTCGTAATTCAACCTATATAAAAAAAATTCAATATAAAGAAATGGTAAATAACTTTGTTCCCATATATATAATCCTATTCAGTTTACTTTGCACTCTTTTGTATTTATATTCCATACACGAATTGAATGGTCATTTGAACAGGATGCAAAAATTGCACCATCCGGATGAACGCGAATCATTCGAACCCACTCCCGGTGTCCAACATATGATTTAATGCAGTATCTATTTGAAAATATTTAACGTTAGATTTTAATTTATTGATCAATTCAATGAAAAATTAATTTAGTTTATTAATTTAAGGAACAATGTTAATAGTTCTTATCATGAAGTCTGGCTACATAGCATGGACTACCGTATGATCTAACCGATCAATTCAATATATAAATTAAAATTAAATAATAATAAAAAAATTAAATTAAATAATAAATAAATAATTAATCCAAAAAAAACAAACAGTGATAAAAATTTAATTGATTCAGAAGTACATTTATCAACAGTCAGACTGAGAATAGAAAATTATTTAAAGGAAAACAGATAAATACAAAATATTTAAAAAATAATTTTAGAAATCTTCAAAGTTTAAGAAGTTGGATTATTAATTTAATAAATTTATATTATTAACCTGAGAGGAAAGAAACAATAATTTTTCATAATCTCTCTCAAAAATGCTTGATGAAAATCAAATTGTATTATATTATATTTATTTAAATATATTATTTTCAATAAACCACCAAGGCGAAGGAACGCTGTTCGGTGCAGTTATTATTATCAATATGTAATATTTACCCAGTAGCAACTTCCCACATTTTAATTGTTTTATCGCGTGATGCAGATAAAACAAAATCACCAGCTGGAACAAATGCGACTGATGAAACATTGTGATCATGACCAAGCATTGTTTTGAAACACTCAAACGTTTGCGTGAAATCCCACAATTTTATTGACATATCGGCACTACAAGAGGCTTGAAATAACAAAGTATATTATAATATTAGAGCCACCAACATTTGTAGAATTTATTCAATCGCTACCTAGTACTTTTCCTTGTACATCAAAAGCAATGTCTTGTACGGAATCTGTATGCCCTTTAAGAGTCCGTTCATATTCTCCAGTTTCGAAATCCCATACTTTAATCGTGGCGTCTTCGGAAGATGTAATTAATAAGCTGAACACTGGATGAAATATAACCTAGAACAGAGCATAAAATTAGTATGTAAGATAGAAGATATTAACATATTTACAACATACCCTGGTTATGGTGGCTCTATGTCCATTCAAGGTAAATTTTTCAGGTGGTCGTGGTATCCATTCGCCTGGTGCTCGCTTTGCTTTAATTGGTCCACCCTCGGAGGCTTCTTTTTGAACCTCAGACAGTTTCGCTTCAAGTTCCATTACCTGTGCGTGAATCACATAGAAAAGAATGGAAATAATTAAAAGTAATTCAAGATTGTGGCTGCTTAAGATGTTTTGACGACTACGAAAGGAGATTGGGAAATTTTCGAGGAGGTCGTTTCAGTCATCGGCACCACTCTTAGATATCCGACAAAACTCTGCTGATTTTTCTTCTTTGAATATTTATTCAGGTAATTTAAAAAGAAACAGTATATGTTATCCACAAGGGAGATTGAGTACTACACGAAAATTAAATGAAGAAAAAATTATTACGCAGATATTTATCCATTCTCAAAATGTAAATGGATTAAGAACGAAATTGTCGGAGTTTGCTGCAGAAGTATATATTTAACAGTCACCAATATACATGCTTCGTGAAACTCATCTAAATGTTGCCATCAATTCTGTAGTCGTTTTAACACCAATGTACGAAGTCTATCGATGTGATAGATCAACACTCACTGAAAACGGCCAAGTTTATCATAAGGAGAATAGAGGTGGAGTTTTGATTGCTGTCAACAACAAACTAAAATCTGTTTGCATCGGAACGGGTGACCATTTTGGAGCAGAACAGGTTTGGGTAAAGGTTGCCGGTGTCAAAAGAAACATCTTTTTGGTGGAATTATACATTCTACCAGATTCAATTCTCAAGGTGTATGAAAACAACATGTATGCCTTGAAGGAAGTCGCATCGAAGTTGAATACGAACGATGTTTTGATTATTTCCGGAGACTTTAATCTGCCCAAATTGATTCGGTTTGTTGACGATAATGATATTTCGGACATTGCAATTGCTATCAATGCAGCCAGTGAAAAAGAGAAGATAGTGCTGGATACTTGCTATGAACTGGATCTTCACCAGATTAACAAGAACTACAACCAAAATGGTCGTATGCTTGACTTGATCTGGACAAACGATATAGAACTGTTTCAATGTACCATGAGTAACTATCATCTGTTAAATTTTGAAAAGCACCATAATGCAATCAATATACAATTTAATGAGCCAGTCATCAGAACATTAGATAAGAAACAAACATATAGTGATAACATAAATGCAAACTATAAACAAATAAATGAGTCGCTTCTTGATGTGGATTGGGATAATGTTTTTGATACAAATTCATTCGAATTGAGACTTGATAATTTTTATACAATTATTAGGTCAACAATTGGAACTCATGTCCAGTTAAAGACAAAAATCATCAGAAAACAACCGATATGGTTTAACAAGTCATTGGTTGAGTTGAAGAACAAAGTCAGCAAAGCACATCAAAATAAAAAAAGGCTCAACACACATGAATCAATTGAACATTGCAGAGAAAAAAGAAGGAAATATAAACGATGTGCACGCTCAGCTCTCAGAGATTACAGAATAGAGATGGAGAAACAGATAGATGATGATCCAAAGAAATTTTTCAAGCACGTGAATTTCAAAAAAGGGAAAAGTGAAGATCTACCACATGAGATGACTTATTTGAATGATAAAGCAAGCGATCAATTAACAATTGCTGTATTTTTTGCAAAACACTTTGGCACCGCTTACAGCTTTTTAGAAGATGATCTGCGATATGACAGCTCGGAAATAGAAAAAATACGGGATATTTGTGCTGAAATATCAATGATCGAAATAACCGAGGAGCTTGTAGGTCAACATATAAGCATGCTGCCAGATGATCTTGTCTGTGGTCCTGATGAAATTCCAAACAAATTTATCAAGCATTGTTTGGTTTCATTGCAGGGGCCAATCTCAACACTGTTAAAGGAATCACTTGAAACTGCCACGGTACCGCAGTTATGGAGAACGTCCTTTGTCAGACCAGTTTACAAAAATGGTGATAGAAATAGAAAACGTTTAAAATTACCGCGGTGTAGCTTTACAGTGTATTACGTCAAAGATTCTCGATTCGATCGTCACAGACCATCTCAATCTATATTTGAAGAACATCGTCCATGAAAGTCAGCATGGGTTCATCAAGAACAGGTCAACGATAACAAATTTAGTTGAATTTACTTCAAAAACGATTATTAACATGGGAAGGAGACATCAAACGGACGCCATCTATTTGGACATTGCCAAAGTTTTTGCCCCGGTTAACTTAAATTTACTTATTCAAAAACTAGACATTATGGGATTGAATGAGCAGCTGTTAAAATGGATCGAATCTTACTTGTCTGGTCGCAGACAAATTGTAAAGATAGCAGATACCAAATCGAAGTTACTTCTTGGACGGGTCAAGGATATCCCATTGGCGCTTCTCTGTTCATCATGTTTGTTATTGATCTACCTTTCGTCGTGACCAATTCATGCATACTTTCATTCGCAGATGATACGAAACTTTCGAAACGGATTATTATGAACGCAATTTATTAAAATTAAATGTCAACAAAACTAAGATCATATCATATCATCGGGGATCTTTGCAATATGAATACAAATACAACATAGGCGGCGTTCAAATTGAAAGAGTATTTGTAATAAGGGACTTGGGAGTGTTGCTTGATGTGCAATCGAATTTTAAATCACACATTGAGCATGTCACGGCTAAAGCCAAATCAAGACTGGCTTCACAGAAACAAATATTCGAATACGGTTACTCGCACTTGCGGTGTTAGCAGAGAGTCTACCCTTGAGTTACGCACTCTATTTTACTGTATTTTTTGTGTTAATTTCATCCAAGTGAACGGATCGTAGTGAAAGAAGAGATACATGTGTAGTCATATGTACGTTGAACGCATGCGGCTATTACCAATTATAGAATATGGATCGGAAATATAGAATCCACACTACGACAATATTTGCAAAAGAATAGAGTCAATACAAAAACAATTTTTACTTTATGCGCTAAAGAGAATGAACTTGAACAGTTACAGGCTTACGAAGTATGAACATAGACTGCTGTTTCTACAAATTATTACGCTTGAGGAGAGACGCAAGGTGGCACAAGTGTCTTTCATCTTCAAAATTATTCATGGAGATATGATATCTAATCATATATCAAACAGTTTGAATTATTAGATTCAGCGCATAATACCAGAGCCACTCCACTTTTTGATATTTTTATTAGGAGGAGCGATTACACAAAGTTTGAACCGATTAATTATATGCTAACAACATTGAATGATTATTATACGAAAAAAGTACCAAACAGTGATACTAATTTAACTGATTTAGAAGTAAATTTATCAACAGCTAAACTTTATTGAAAAGTATTTAAAACAAAATAGATGAATTGAAATGAAATTTTCTATAATAATTATTATTTATCTCTTTCAAAACTACTTGATGTAAGAATTTAATTATTGGAAGTATAAATTAAAACGTAAGGATTTTTTCCATTTTCCAGGCAATTCATGGATTCCGTGCCAAAAGAATGGTTGTTGTTTTGAACGAAACCACGAACCGACCCAATTTTCGATTTCCTCCGAAGAAGTGAAGCGTTTGCCTGCCAATTCGTTTTGCATCGTTCGAAACAAGTAGTAATCAGAAGGAGCAATGTCTGGTGAATACAGCGGCTGGGGTAAGACTTCCCAATTAGTTGTTTCCAAGTATTGTTTGACGACATTTGCAACATGTGGCCGAGCATTGTCATGAAGAAGAATTAACCGGTTGTATTTTTCCCTCCATTCTTTCCGATCTTTGTCCAATGCTCGCTTCAATCGCATCAGTTGTAGTCGATAGCGATCTCCTGTGACTGTTTCACCCGGTTCCAGCAGCTCATAATACACGATACCCTTTTGATCCCACCAAACACAGAGCATTACCTTCCGGCAATGAATATCTTGCTTTGATTGCGATGGTCCTAGTGTAGTTATCGTAGTGGATCCACTTTTCATCGCCCATAACAATTCGATTCAAAAATGACTTGCTTTTTTGACTTGCGAGCAGCATTTCACAGATGATAAAACGCCTTTCAACATCTCTCGGTTTCAATTCGTGCGGAAACCAGTTCCAAAATTTTTGGATGAACCCTAATGCTTTTAAACGTTGTGAAATGGTTGCTTGAGTTACTCCCAATGATTTAGCGAGTTCTTCTTGCGTTTGGCATGGATCTTCATCGAGTAACAATTCCAATTCTTCATCTTCGAATTTTCTCGGCTGGCCTGGACGCTCTTTGTCTTCCGTGTCAAAATCACCACTTCTGAATCTTCTAAACCATTTTTCACATACACTTATTGAAATTGAATATTTGGGATACGTTTCCGACAACAAACGATGACATTCAGCAGCACTTTTCTTTTGATTAAAGTACAAAAGCATTGCTTCCCGCGAATGCTGTTTTGTTGGAACGTAATTCGACATTTTAATCGTAATAAAAAAGTTGTGTGTGCAGAATTGTTTTCACATGACAGATCTAATTTAGTAGATTTTTTGACGCTCTTTAAGATACAACAGCTTTCACTGCCCAAACAATTGCATGTGTGATAGATATGAAGTTAGATACGAATCCTTACGTTTTAATTTATACTTCTAATATATTGTATTTATTTAAATTATTTTAAATAAACCACCAAGGCGAAGGAACACTGTTCGGTGCAGTTATTATTATTTTTATTATTATTATTATTATCAAGTAATATGAATTTACTGACAATGGAATTGTAAAAGAAAGTAAATTTATATATAGTTTAAGAGCAAATTTGAAATTGGGTAGTAGCTCAGATCGCGATTTTGTGGAACTTTAGTTTCTTCTATAATCTAGCTGTAGTATCTTACATTCAAATGGTTTCTAATTATCTCTTACCCAGCCATACACACTCTATCTCGTATACACTCTGTTTCCATCATAATCATTTGGAAATCTCATAGTACATATTACAATTAATGTATGAATAAAATTCTACAATACCTTCTTTTGTAAACGAATTACAGATGTCCATTTTTTCTCCAACAGACCACTATATTTAATTTCAATCGATTCCGTGGCATCCAAATCAGCTTCTTTGCGAAACGATTCTAATGCGTCGATGTAATTATTAGCACCTAGGTAGTCAGCAATCGCCTTATTTCTGCAAAATAATATTAATTTGTTTATACACTGTGTAAAATTAACATGTGAAAGGTAGACGAAAGTATTTTTGATATGAAATCTAATAGCGTATATGAATGTCCGAGAATGAATGTGAGACTTCTACTCAGAACATAGAAATGTGTAACAAATCTTAAAGATTTTATTGAATTGTAGTACCAACGCAACTTTTATTGAAATGAAAAACGGCGTGTTACACTTCAATAAATTTTGTTTTGGTATTACATTTTGAAAAATTTCTTGCCGTGTGTTTCAGTTTTGAAAGCTTTTTTACGATGTTACGAATAAAAAAATTGGTTTTGATGTTACGTTAAAGAAAGTCTTTGTACTAAATTCAGACGTTGCCATTTGAACAACAAACACACAATATTAAATTCGTTTTTATTGGTATAAACCAATAATAATCGCGCTAGTGACGAAACCACATTAGTATGTTGAAAAGACGAACTCGCTATATATACACGAAATATACGAAATTCAGACCCAGAAGGCCTTTGGCCCCGGTTGATGTATGGTTGGAAAGCCCTTGGGTCATAGATTAAGAAAAAATATGAAAGTTTGAAAATCGGCCCACCTGTCTTCGAAATATGGTCCTTTCAAGAAAAGGGTCAAAACTCAGTTTCATGACCATAGATGGCACTAAATGAGGTCATTGACCCTTGAAACATCGATATTCTTATTTTAGAGCTCAATACCTTTCCAACGATACCTCAAACGTCGAAATCGGTTAATCCGTTCGAAAATTTTATTATTTTAAAAATTTCATATGAATTTCTATGAAAAATCAAAATGTCTGTGTGTCTATGCGCAATTTTGCGTACTCGATTCTGATCTTTTTGAAACTTCCTGTGATTATTGTACACAAAAAACTAAAACTTTTTTGTTCCGGCACTTTTCGATATGGCTGCCATGTTGGCCGTGGCCAGCCTTCAAAAGTCACTTTTTGATCCACTTGACACACCCCGGACATATGCATATCGATGGAAAGGTCTTGAGTGAGCTATCGAATGGTGCCATTTGAGATCCAAAAATTTCAAGTTGGAGTGGCCATATTGGCCAAAAACCAAAAAGTTACCGTTCGCCCGGACACATAACGTCCATTATCTCGAAAACAAACTCATGGATTTTTTTGCAAATTTCACCGATTTTAGGCCCAAGTCTAAGCTATAATATGCCGCATAGCTCATATCCCAGAAACATTTGAAGTATTTTATGGGCCAAAATGTACTCCAATGACTCTGTAAATATTCTCTGTGACTAGCTAAACAAAATTGAACAAAATATCGACCGTTTTGGATGGCTATTCCACCAAAAATCGTCCAAATGTACTAAACTTCGAATTTTCACAAAAATGTCTAGATGTATGAAATATGAAATTTTGACAACAAATAACTACATGTTTGATAGTCTCCTTGCATAAGATCGATAAAATAGTGAACCTTGTGTCCCCTTTCACCAGGCCAGAAGGGAGAGGTGCATGCGGTTAGTCACAAATGAAATTAAAAGAAATCTACAAAAATGTTAGTATAAATTGGCAAAATATGCAAAAGGTCATGCAAAAATGGCCATTATTTCATACGGTCGCTGTGGAACTCAGACTTGACATAACCAGGACATATGCATATTCGTTCGAAAGATCTTAAAGTAAGCTCTCGAGTGGTGCCAACTGCGACTTAAATTTTTTATGTGGGGGTGGCCAAATTGGCCAAAAACCAAAAATTGACCGTTGGCCGCACACATAACGGCCATTTTTTCGAAAAAGACTGCATATGTTCTCTTGAAAATTTCATCAATTTAAGCCCCAAGTCAAAGATAAAAAAAAATATGCCTACCACACACTACAGAAAAAACCACTTTTCCCCATTATGAACCACAATTCTATGGGTGAGATCTAAAAGAACGTATGTATTATTTTCGCCTTAAATTTTGGAAAAGGAATGTATGTGTTTGGCCAATTCTGTCTTACTGAAAGGGAAGTATGTTTTACACCGAAAAAATTTTGTAAAAGGAAAGTATGTTTTTCGGCTGAATCAGTTGTTGATAAAGGAATACATGTTTCGTACTAAATAAATTTTGCAAAAGGATAGTAAGTGATTCTGAATCAGCTGTTAAAAAAGGGATGCATGTTATAACGTATTTTTCTGGAATTGGGCTTTGGTGGATCCTAAGGATTGTTCAGAACTGCTCCCAGTTCTGGAAGTGGGTTTTGGTGGATCCTCAGGATGGACCAGACTATGAATTGACAATGCCCTGGCCCATCCTGGGGGTCCACTTCCAGAACTAGGAGTGGTTCTGAACGATCCTGAGGATCCACTAAAGCCCACTTCCAGAACAAAGACACTTACGTTCTTTTATCCAAACGAAAACACTGAAACATGCATCTCTTTTCCAACAACTGATTCAGCCGAAATACATACTTTCCTTTAAAAACTTTGAACCATGAAAAAACTTACATTCCTTTATTGCGACAAAGTCGAATAAACTTGCGTTCTTTTAGATCTCACCAATAGAATTTATATGATTTTGATCCAAAAATAACCAAAAAATCCATATTTTCATTGTATTTGAAAAAGATTCAAATTCATGTTTCTTGAATCTTTAACATTGAAAATAGCGCTCACAAAACTATTGATATCAAATAAAAAACCTCTATCGAGGTGAAGAACGAGTGACGAAACCAAAATTTGAAACACAAAATTTCTGATATCAATTTTGTGACGAAAATAGTTGGTAGATATATTTTCTGTGTACTGTGAATATAAACTTAATATACATTTGTAAATTCGGAACGTTGCTTCATTGCGTCAGTATGAACTCAAAGTAATAAGGAGAGAATTTCTGCAACGTTTTGAATATACAAATGTATATTAAGTTTATATCCACAGTACACAGAAAAAATATCTACCAACTATTTTCGTCACAAAATTGATATCAGAAATTTTGTGTTTCAAATTTTGGTTTCGTTACTCGTTCTTCACCTCGATAGAGGTTTGTTATTTGATATTAAATAATACGCATTATAAAATTGATTTCATTGAATTTTTTGCTTATTGAAACATATCGATTTCATATTGGCTGACATTGAAAAGTAAAGTTGACTAGCATTTCAGAGAGGTGAGAAATGTTCGAGCATATTGTTTGCCACTATCGTTTTGTAAATATCGGTGAATTTTTGTTCTCGGTGGATTTTCGTTATTCATTGTGTCAATTACATTTTAAAATGTGTGTTTTTTTTTCATTAGAAAATGGCAAATCGTTACAAGCCGTATCTACCAGCCGAGGGAGAAAAAAAAGATGAGATAACGATGATCAAATATGCACTGAAATCAATAATTCGGCCGCCATATTCGGCCAGGCAGTGATCAACAAAAGCTGATCTAAGTCTACAGGCTACTTTGAAATTTGAGCTCGTTGCTGTTCTTATTAGAGGTACAAAAGGCATATGAACGTAGGCATCAACAATGGCGACTTCAGTTTTTTTGCCAATAACGGAGAAGACAAGGTCAAAACATGTTTTGATTAAGTGCTTACGAAGAACAACCCAACAAAGATAATTATTGTTAGCTGAATTCAGCATCGAAATACGTAATACTTTTTACATAGTTTCTGAAGTTGACGATCCAAGGGGATAATTCCAAAATTTTCCGATAATCCAAAGGGGTAATTTTCTATGTTTTTATTTGCTCTATCACAAATTCAAAAATGCATAAGCCAACCCCTCCTATAGCTATGACTTTCTACCTAACTCAATTGATCCAACAATTGTAAATTAATTTACCGGAGCCAGAGCAACAATCAAAGACTAAACGGAAACCCCGTGGACCAGCAAAAGAAGTGTCACCAATCGATCCTGAATTCAAGGAAATTGTGGAAGATCTTGATGAAGTCCATCGCTTTGATTGGCTAAGCAACAAAGAATTCAGTAATTGCCTCAAACATCAATGCAATCAATACATGGACAACAATGTCACCAATTTGCAAACACATTATGATAAGCATATAACCCAATATCTGAAGATGATAGTGTTTCAGAATGACAGAATTGAAGCCATTGAAAAGACAAAAAAAATGACATCGACATCCTGCCAAACTGAGAACGGCTATGTCGTGAAACTGATTCTCAAGCAAAAGGTATGTTGAAAATGTTTATTCAAATCATGAAAATAAGTGAGTTTTCAGTGGATCATATTGTTTAAGCTACTGAATCGGACTTCAATCAATTTTTAGTTCATATTTAAAGTTTGAATTTGATCAGACAAAATGTAAATATGCAAACGAAATATAATAGTTTCCCTTTTTTTCATTGAAAGTTTCCCTTTTTTTCATCAAAGTGACCCAAATATACTTTATCGGTACGGAGTTTTGTATGATATCGTCAATCAGCTGGATGTGTTCCCGGAAATCGACCTGCATGATCTCACGATCAATACAAAAAAATGATTCAAAGCTGTGCCGATGTATCTATGCAACTTGAGATAGAAGAATTTAATTTGCTGCGAGTACATCAAGACCCACCGAAGAAACGCAAAAAGAAAAAGCGCAGAAGGCTCAAGGGTAAGAAACGAAATTGTTACATCAAACAAAAACAAATGCTCGACGATTTGGAATATCTACCGTGCATTCGCAATTTGGTGGTAGTTCCGGTGTGTGATTTTTGGCGTACGCATTTCAAAATCGACTGTTCGACTATGCATCAGGTCTTGTCTTCTCAAAAATTGATTCCGAAACAGTTAACTGAAGACGGAAAACCAAGTGACAAAAATATTTCACAAAAGGTTTTCAACGAGAATAAAGATTACATATGGAATCAGAGCACCAGTCGATTGGACCTCATTGAAGGCGTGCAAATTTAAAAGATTGGGAGGTACAGATTCAGGCATACTGAACTGGAATACCACAACAATACATGAAATTGATACGTGCAAAGAAGTATGTGTTGTTTTTGGAAATACAATGATGCGCATTGTGCTTGAATTCACTGATTATTTTTGTTTTTCTCGACTTATTTGCAGAACAACTTTGTAAAAAAGAGCAAAAAATTCCATTGGGAAACACAAAAAAACGTACGAAACGCAAAAGCGAAGCGATTTACGAAACATTTTCCCGAGAGAGAAAGACTAGATCGAGAGAACCGTGAGCTGTACAGCCTATACGCAATGATGACGCAATGATGGCATCACCAAAAGGTACACAGTGGCTGAACTACATTAAGCATCGAGTTTAGATGACCAAACATGGAATCGAAGCTTACTCGACTGCAAAGTACACTAGACTCACCTTGGACAAATACATCAGAAGTAACAAAGTTATCGACGGATCTGTGAACAAGATCACCAATAAGGGGAATCGACTCTGTTATCCATGGTGCTGATGGCGAAGTATCACCCACAGCAATGAAACGACAACAACAATAACACATATTTTTACTGTCAAAATTTTGATGTCAAATGGTGTCGACATTGGTGACGGTATTTTGAAACAGACTGTGTAATCCATATTCATCGTATATGATCCTATTTAAAGTTCTATACTTGATCTAGTTCACATTGACGGTTCAAATCGTTTATGTCCACTAGCGTGGACATGGACTGTGTGTTTCTTCTGTTACATGTACGTTGTAATGGACAAGTATAGTAACATGGCGTAGTTCAAATAAATTTAAAAATCCGTCCACTCGTGTCGATACCATCTAGCACGGTAGTAGGGATTTCATTGCTGTGGTATCACCTGATTGCTCGATAAAAATTAAAAAACACGTGCGATGTCTAAATTCGGCAAGACAGAAACATCTACATATCGACAGTTATAACGCACATTGAAGGGAGCTTTGGAAATAGAAGGGGAGCTAATATCAAGAGTAAAACCTTACTACAAAAAATGGCAATTAGACCTCGAATGCGCCGTGACTTGGCATCGTGGCTGCTAAGAACATTCTACTGAAAGGTGACACAAATGTGATTGAATGATTGCAAAAATAACAGTTCGAATAACAGCCAATTACCATCACAATAAAATTTGGTTGAGATGGTAGATTTTGAAAACAGCTTTTTGCTTCAGATGCGTTGTGTAAATGTCATGAATTGTCATAGAATTTTTTGTATTCAATAACAAATACAATTTTTTTAATTACATACATTTGTTTTTATTTTAATCGTGAAAATGGCTGTATTCGGTAGGAAATGTTTATGTTTTAAAAATGATTTCGGGCGTATGGCCACAAATTTTTGACCACTTTTTCGAGCATTTCCGGCTGAATGTCGAGATTAACGCGCTCAATATTGGCTTCCAATTGCTGAATCGTTGTTGGTTTGTCTGCATAGACCAATGACTTCACATAACCCCACAAAAAATAGTCCAGCGGTGTTAAATCGCATGATCTAGGCGGCCAATCGACAGGTCCATTTCATGAGATAATTCGGTCGACCGAATCGATTGCCAAACATAGTTTTCAATAAATCGAACGTTTCGTGTGCAATGTGCGTTGTAACGCCATCCTGTCGAAACCAAAATGTTTCTAGATCGTGAGTGGCAACATTTGGCAACAGCCCTCCATCAATCATGTCGCGGTGTCTTGCGCGTGTAATCCTTTGTTTGCTTTCTTCTTCTTCTTATTTTGACGCGATCGTTGGTTTCTAAGTCTTTTCTTTTCTTTTTCACGTTCATCATTCGTTCTTATTTGGACACTTGCACCAATAGTTGTTGAATCGATCGTTGTGTTGACTGAGATGATGTCGTTTGATTCTTTTACAAAAAGAGACATTTCTATTTCATTTTTGAAAATATTGTTGATTGAGCCGATCACTTTGTCACCAACTTTTTTGATCATTTTTTCGACTTCATTTTTGTTAAATAAATGCTCAGTTGCATCATGATAATTGCCATCATCTTTTTTGGTTTTGACTTTGAACAAATGCATGCATTTTGAACAACACACTGGTAACGGCGATATTCCATTGAAAATGTCATTGAACTCATCTTCTTTGTATACGTCGCTTGTAAATGTGAAATTGTTGCTATTTGGCATTATTGTATAGTGCGTGACATAAATATCGTCCTGTTTCTATCTCTTTTTTATACTGTACAAAAATGCACACGGAATATATAGAAAGTAGCCAAAAAAAACTGCGCAATAATTTGTTATCATTATATAGAGAGTATCGATCCATATTCGCAAGTTGTTTGTTTACAATACACTTCCTATTTGGGAGTTTATTCAATTACATTCAAAAACTGTTTTTGTATTAGTTCTTAACACAAATGTATTTATTTTCAAATACGTTTGGAAAACAAGAATGTGTAAAAGAGATGTTTTTTTACTCATTTAGATCATCGTCGACGACGTCGTGTTGAATGGTAAATATTCCCATCGTGCTCAATCACGTATTGAAATCTGTTGCCCAGCGAGTTGTAGAGATTGTCGAATAAGTCTGACAAATTGAATAGAAACAAATACATGTATCACCAGTATTTATTTCATTCGATCATAATTAAAATTTACCTTGTCGATTTCTTAAATTTTCCCATCTGTTGAATACATGAGCATTCAATGCATGTTGCGTCCTTTCAATCAATTGAGGTCGATCTCGTTCCATAATGGACCAAACATTTTCAATAAGGTTCAGGTCTGGACTGAAGGGAGGATGATTCAACACATTAAT